TTAACAAGGGGTGACTCACAGGCTCGACATCACCCTGTGACCCCCCATTAAACGCCACTAATCAACCATTTTCCCCCATTTAATCGCCAAATAATTAATCACCAAATAATTAATCACCCAATAACTAATCCCCCAATAATTAACCCCCAATTAATTAACCATCCCCCAATTAAGAAGGGGCGACTCATGGGCTCGTCATCACCCCCTGACCCCCATTAAGAGCCAATAATCGACCATTTTTCCCCCATTTTTCACCCAATAATTCAAATATTTCACCCAATAATCAATCCCCCAATAATTAACCCCCAATTAATTAACCATCCCCCAATTAACAAGGGGTGACTCACGGGCTCGTAATCCCCCACTGACCCCCATTAAAAGCCACTCATCGACCATTTTCCACCATTTAATCACCCAATAATTAATCACCAAATAATTAATCACCCAATAATTAATCACCCAATAATTAACCCCCAATTAATTAACCATCCCCCAATTAACAAGGGGTCACTCACGGGCTCGTCATCCCCCACTGACTCCCATTAAACGCCACTAATTGCCCATTTTCCACCATTTAATCACCCAATAATTAATCACCAAATAATTAATCACCTAATAGTTAATCACTCAGCAATTAATCACCCAATTAACACCCAATTAATTAACCCCCCCAAGAAAAAAGGGTCCTTACCCCCCCCGACCCCCATTAAAAGCCAATAATCGACCATTTTCCCCCCATTTTTCACCCCAATAATTCAAATATTTCACCCAAATAATCAATCCCCCAATAATTAACCCCCAATTAATTAACCCCCCCCCAATTAATTAACTCGGGGGCGACTCACGGGCTCGTTGACGCGGGGGACGAAGACGGCGAGGACGAAGACGGCGGCGACGGGCGGGGCCAGGTAACTGGCCATGGCCTGGATGTAATCGAAGAGCTGCCCCCCCCGCGCCGCCTCCACCACCGGCAGCCACGCCAGGCTCAGCCCCACCATCGCCACCACCCACACCCTAATTAATTAACCCCTAATTAGCCAAATTCCTCGAAAAAACGGAGTTATTAGCCTCTATGATGCCATTATTAGGGCCGTTAATAGCATTAATAGGTCTCTAATGCGAATTAATGACTATTAGTGGGTCATTAATAAGGATTATTAGCCCCCCCGATGAAAATTAATAACGTTAATTAGTCCCTAATAACAATTAATGGGTCGCTAATTAAATTATTGGGTCACTAATGACGATTAATAGCCCCCTAATAATGATTAATGGGTCACTAATAACGATCAATGGGTCACTAATAGTGATCAATAAGCCCCTATTAATGATTCATGGGTCATCAATAACGATTATTGGCCCCCTCATAAAAATTAATGGGTCACTAATTACATTATTGGGTCACTAATTAAATTATTGGGTCACTAATAACGATTAATAGCCCCCTAATAACAATTAATGGGTCGCTAATAGCGATCAATGGGTCACTAAGAGTGATTAATACCCCCCCCAATAACAATTAATGGGTCAATAATTACATGGCCACCCCCCCCACCCTGTTAATCACCCGTTAATTGCGTTAATTGATCCAAAAAACGAGGGGTTATTGGTCGTTATTGATCGTTATTGGTTGCTATTAGTGGGCGTGGCCGAAGAGCTGCCCCTCCCCCCGCGCCGCCTCCACCACCGGCAGCCACGCCAGGCTCAGCCCCACCATCGCCAGCACCCACACCCTAATTAATTAACCCCTAATTAGCCAAATTCCGCGAAAAAACGGAGTTATTAGCTGCTATGATGCCGTTATTAGGGTCATTAATAGCATTAAAAGGTGCCTAATGCGAATTAATGGTGATTAAAGGGTCATTAATAAGGATTATTAGCCACCCCGATGAAAATTAATAACATTAATTAGTCCCTAAAAAAAATTAATGGGTCACTAATTAAATTAATGGGTCACTAATTAAATTATTGGGTCACTAATGACTATTAATAGCCCCCTAATAACGATTAATGGGTCACTAATAGTGATTAATAACCTCCTAATAACAATTAATGGGTCACTGATTAAACTAATGGATCACTAATAACGATTAATAGCCCCCTAATAACAATTAATGGGTCACTTATTAAATTATTGGGTCACTAATAACGATTAATAGCTCCCTAATAACAATTAATGGGTCGCTAATAGTGATCAATAAGCCCCTATTAATGATTCATGGGTCATCAATAACGATTATTGGCCCTCCAATAAAAATTATTGGGTCGTTAATTAAATTATTGGGCCACTAATTAAATTATTGGGTCACTAATAGCGATTAATAGCCCCCTAATAACAATTAATGGGTCACTAATAACGATCAATGGGTCACTAATAGTGATCAATAAGCCCCTATTAATGATTCATGGGTCATCAATAACGATTATTGGCCCCCTCATAAAAATTAATGGGTCACTAATTACATTATTGGGTCACTAATTAAATTATTGGGTCACTAATAACGATTAATAGCCCCTTAATCACAATTAATGGGTCGCTAATAACGATCAATGGGTCACTAAGAGTGATTAATACCCCCCCCAATAACAATTAATGGGTCGATAATTACATGGCCACCCCCTCCACCCTGTTAATCACCCGTTAATTGCGTTAATTGATCCAAAAAACGAGGGGTTATTGGTCGTTATTGATCGTTATTGGTTGCTATTAGTGGGCGTGGTCGAAGAGCTGCCCCTCCCCCCGCGCCGCCTCCACCACCGGCAGCCACGCCAGGCTCAGCCCCACCATCGCCACCACCCACACCCTAATTAATTAACCCCTAATTAGCCAAATTCCGCGAAAAAACGGAGCTATTAGCTGCTATGATACCATTATTAGGGCCGTTAATAGCATTAATAGGTGCTTAATAGGAATTAATGGTGATTAAAGGGTCATTAATAAGGATTATTAGCCCCCCCGATGAAAATTAATAACATTAATTAGTCCCTAATAACAATTAATGGGTCACTAATTAAATTTTCGGGTCGCTAATAGCGATTAATAGCCCCCTAATAACAATTAATGGGTCGCTAATAACGATCAATGGGTCACTAATAGTGATCATTAAGCCCCTATTAATGATTCATGGGTCATCAATAACAATTATTGGCCCCCTCATAAAAATTAATGGGTCACTAATTACATTATTGGGTCACTAATTAAATTATTGAGTCACTAATAACGATTAATAGCCCCCTAATAACAATTAATGGGTCACTAATTAAATTACTGGGTCACTAATTAAATTATTGGGTCACTAATAACGATTAATAGCCCCCTAATAACAATTAATGGGTCACTAATAACGATCAATGGGTCACTAAGAGTGATTAATACCCCCCCTAATAACAATTAATGGGTCGATAATTACATGGCCACCCCCACACCCTAATTAATTAACCAATAATTAGCCCAACTCGTCAAAAAAACCGAGTTATTAGATGTTATAACGCCATTATTAGGGTCGTTAATAGCATTAATAGGTGCCTAATAGGAATTAATTACTGTTAGTGGGTCATTAATAAGGATTATTAGCCCCCCCGATGAAAATTAATGACGTTAATTAGTCCCTAAAAACAATTAATGGGACACTAATTAAATTAATGGGTCACTAATTAAATTATTGGGGCACTAATAACGATTAATAGCCCCCTAATAGCATTTATTGGGTCGCTAATAGCGATCAATAAGCCCCTATTAATGATTCATGGGTCATCAATAATAATTATTGGCCCCCTCATAAAAATTAATGGGTCGTTAATTAAATTAATAAGGTCCTAATACAAAATAATAGGTCCCTAATTAAATTATTGGGTCACTAATGACGATTAATAGCCCCCTAATAACAATTAATGGGTCGCTAATAGCGATCAATAACCCCTAATAATCATTTATGGGTCACTGATTAAACTAATGGATCACTAATAACGATTAATAGCCCCCTAATAACAATTAATGGGCCACTAATTAAATTATTGGGTCACTAATGACAATTAATGAGCCCCTAATAAAATGGATAGACCCCCAAACACAATTAATAGGTTGTTAATGACATTAATAGGTTAA